TGCTCTGGTCATGGTGGTGCATGCCTGTAATCCCATTGCTGGGGAGGCTGAAGGTAGGTGGGTCAGTAGGGGTCAGAGCTGTGTATTGAGATACTGTACCAAATACATTTTTTTTTTTAAAATTGAAACTAGAACTCTGTCACTCACTCCGCATGAAAATCATTTCAAAATGGATTAAAGACCTAGATATAAGACTGGAAACATTGAAAGTGTTAGGCAAGAACATAAAGAGTAATACTTAAGGCCACAGGCATAGGCAGAGACTTCCTGATTAGCACTCTAATAGCACATGAATTAATAGTAACAATCCACCAATAGGATTACATCAGATTAACGAGATCCTGCACAGTAAGGGAAGCCACATTTGGAAGGGACAGTTCACAAAAAGAGAGCAAGCTTCCCTTCCAGCAGAGACTTAATATAGTATAGAGAATATATGAAGTCCGAAAACAACACCAAAAAACCAAAATAGCCTAATCAAACAATAATGCAAGGAAATGAGCTGGTATTTCTCAAAAAAAAGTACACATGGCCAATAAGTATACAAAAAACCATTTCACATCTTTAGCCATTAGAGAAATGCAAATCAGAACTACATTGAGATTGCATTTATCACTGCCAGAATGGCTATCACCAGTACTGAACACATTAAGAGGAAGGGAGAATGTTGGAAAAGGAAACCCTTCCGTACTGTTGATGGGACTGTAACATAGTACAGCTTTTATGGAAACCAGTATGGAGATGTCTCCAAAAACTGTGGAACTACCATTTGATTTACCTTTATCAAGGTAAACAGTATATACCTGAAGGTATTAAAGCCAAACTATGACAGGAATACCTTCATGTTCATATTTATGGTGGCACAACATACCACAGCAAGAACCAGCCTAGGTGCCCATCCACAGAAGAAATTTTGATATATTGTACAATACTAGTTGATTATTCAGCTATAACAAAGAACAAATTTGTCATTTGCAAGGAAAACGAATGGAACTGGAAATCATCATGTTAAGTGAAATAAGCCAGATCGAAAGACAGTGTTGGGTTTTCTCTTTAATATGTAGAATCTAAAGAAAATAACATGAAAGTCGAGGGGAGACTTTAAACAAATAGAATTGAATGAAGGGAATGTATAATGGTGGGTGGTTGTGGAATGGATATGGTCAACATATATGCACTGCAATCCAATATTTTGAAAAATTAGTAGACAGTAATAAAAATATGTTTAGAATAAATGATTATTTAACTTAGTTTCCCTAGCCTTCATTTTTATTACAGTTTTTATTTTGTTGAATCCAGCCTACTTGGCCAATACATGCTGTTTTCTAAGTCTTGAGCACATAGCATTTGTGCTGTTCTGTATTTCTTTGCCTTTTGTAAGGCAGCTGCTGGATGCTGGAGTTCACGGTATGTGTTCCTTTCAGATGGGACCACAAAGATGTTAGCCACTGATAGTTAATTTTTATCTTTGTTTCAATTAGAGGGCAGTGCAAGTAATATTTTAATATAACAATTAGTTTCATTTGTCAGAGTGTCTTAATACAAATCTTATAACCTCTTTAGTTGTATAGTAATGCAGTTTACATCGGATACATAAATACTTGCTTATTTTTCTTTGAATTTTCAAATGAATGAACATGTGAAAGGGTGTAAGAATAGCACAAATAATTTCTTCTGTCCTCATTTTGTCCTGTAGAATAGCTGTCTACAAACATTTCTTGCAAGATAAATACTTTTTTCTACTACTCAGCACCCTGTCAACTTATTGACAAGTTACTTCATTTCTCTGAAATCAGGTTTCCAGAATTCATTCATAGACTCATAATAATATTGCTTCTGTAGAGTCATCACAAGGTTTATGTCCTTACATTGTATACCTCTGGAAACAGAGATTATTTTTTTCAGATGATTTTATTTATTAGTACATGTTTGCAGTGTGCATGGTGTTTACATTCTTTGTGGGAAGTTGATATATATATATGATAGATTGTAAGTCCCTCCCCTCCTTTCTCTTTATCAAAAAGTATGTGACATTAGTAGAGGAGTCTATTAATTGGTGATAATTATTATTTTTTTCTGTGTTGATTTTTTTGGTTTTTTTTCCATAAAAATGAGCAGTGGGTTTATGTTGCTCTTTTTTTATTTTGGTGGAACTGGGGATTGAACTCAGGCCTTTGTGCTTGCCAGGCAAGCACTTATTCTACTGAGCCATCTCCCCAGCCCTTGATAATATTATTTTAACTGCTTTTCTTACCTTTGTTTGGAAAGAATCATCATTACTTGAGGAGTGGCTACACAGAATACATTTTATAGAGTTGCTCATGCAAGAAGCAGCTTGGGTCAAAGGTTAATCTGACCAACTGTTCACTCCTATTTGAAATTAAGCTTTGTTTTCTTTATACCTGACATACTGTAGAATGGCTCCTTACCTGGTCGCTATAAATCCCTCTCAGATTTGCTTGTGATAGAGAGGGACTGGGTATTTTTTAGTCAATGATTTCCATAGGGTAAGATTGCTGTGTCACATAATTTGTATTTTTATATCCAGCCATCTGAACCCTACCAGATTTGAGGAGAATTGAACTAGTTGCACTTGTTCTAGTAAGAGTCAAAGCAGAAACTTAACTGTACTGGATTGGAACTCTAGAGGAATGCTTGACATTTTTACCCAGGAGATAACTGTTTAGCTTAGAGAGTGAATCTGTCTGAAAAGTGAGACTGTGAGATTCTGGGCAACTCCTTGTCTATGGGGAAGCATGGAAGGGCTCAGCTGAAGGACTGTCGTTGACAGTCATTCCTGTCCTAGTAAGATCTCTTGTTTCTGTTGGTTGTCTGACAGCGGGATGTCCATCCACATCATATCTAATGCATAGGTTTAGTGCCATGTGTAGTGAATGGGTCAAGCATACTTTGGAGTGTCGTGCGTATCATTTCGCTTTGTCTGAAGCCAGAACCTGCCTGGTGTTGGCCAAGGGCTTTGAAAAACAGTTGGACTGAGGTTTTAGCACAGCAGGAGTTTATTTTGTGCTTTTTTTCAATGCTAAAATTTCAACTTTTTTCTTTTTAATTTCAGAGAAAATTTCACAAGAGATTTGCATAGTGGTGGACAAAAAAGAAAAGGAACATTTAGGTCATCTTCTTGAAGCCGTGCTAAAAAATGAACTAAATGTAAGTATTCAGACTAAGTTTTGTAAGCTTTACTTCAGTGTCCTAGAGTGTTGTAGATAAAGGTATCTTCCTTGAGAAAAGCATAAGGAAATTAGTCAATCCTATTCCTAGAACTTTTTTTTTTTTGGTGGAACCAGGGATTGAACTCAGACCCTTGCGCTTGCCAGGGAAGCGCTTATTCCACTGAGCCATCTCCCCAGCCCTCCTAAAATCTTTTTTTGTGAGTACTGGAATCCAACTCAGTGGTCAGACAACCACTGCACCACCGAGCTAAATCTGTGGCTTCTTATTAGTATAATCTTGACTTGATGAGATCCTTTGATTTGTTAACAAAGGGAGTTGTAATAAACTCCAGGCACTTGTCAGCTTTTTGGAAACTATCTCCAAAGCTCGCATGTTGCTTCCTCCAGAAAGCTTCGCTTCATGCTTTGGGCCCAGGTGAAAGCCCAGACTTTTCTTGGGAGTCATGTTGCCAACATGCTGGGGGCTTTAGAAAGTTTTGTTGATTATATAAAGTGAGGGAGATTAAGAACTTGGATGGAAACGAAGAAAGACAGATGGTGACAAAAGAAGACTATAATCAGTATAGTGAGAAAATAAGTGTCTGAACCTCTTCGTATGAATGAGTTAACTCCTTAGTTAAACCATGGATACTAGGACTGTGGAAACGGAAGTGGCAGTGTGAGGACAACCACAGGCACTGCTTGCAGCCCGCCCCATCCTTTACAGCTTTTTCCACTTTCCATAACTTTTATGATTATTTTGTTTTGAAGTATTTTGGTTGCTTTACCCCATCTTAATAGATTCAAATTTCCCTGTTTTAATTAAACTATTAATCTTGGCAGAATTTAGGATCAATGTATGATGAATTTTTGTGCATACTGTATGCTTCTAGTCAAAAGCAGAAGCAAACTCATTTTGGTTAGCTGTGTGGTTTTATGACAGCATAGTTGGAAAGAGCTGGTGCTGATATCAGACTGTCTGTACCTGGTTGTCACTTATGTGGCTTAATTTCTTCATCCTTAAATTGAATATAGTAAAAATATTCATGAAGTGTGATCAAAACATAAGTTTAAAAATATATATTGCAATAAGAGACTCATTCCTCACTCAGAATACTCATCTTTGAACACACTTATCCTGTCATTCTCACCACTTTCTGATGCCATTCTGAATGCATCTCTCTTTCCGGGATGTCCTCAAAAGATGTGAATTAAAGTGTGGTGAATGCTGCTGCCCAGGGCCATCCCACAATGGACAGATTGTGTTGACCTCACGGTGTGTCACCATCCAGCTTTCTCACCGGATCTGGCACCCGCCCACTTCCGGTTCTTCCCCAAGTCCAGATGCCCATAGAGGGTGAATGGTTTGAATCATTTCAGGATGCTGAGGTGGCTATGACTCAGCAAAAGATACCTGAAAGAGAATTTCCAGAACAGCTTCAGAAAGTGTTAAAAAGGAGGGGATAAATCTTAAAAACTCTACCCCTGAGGCACATCCCCAGCTTCCCCTCCCCAATAAATGTTTCAAGGATATCAATGACAGCTGTTGTTTTTTTTTTAAACTGTAACAATTTTTTTTTTCAAATTTAAACATTCACCTTATGTTTCAGTCATGCCTAGTACTCTGGAAAGGTGTTAAGTTGAATTGAATATGTTCTTTGTATTAGTCAATATGTATTTAATACTCACTATAAACGTGTATGTTACTAGCCCTGCAGTCACTGTAGCTCTCTAAAACTAACTCTGCAGCAGATTATCTAGGAAGGGCTCCTGGCACAGTCTTTCTAGTTCCCTGTGACTAAAATTATTCCCCAGTCAAAATCTTCAATGTGATCTTTGTTAGGTTAAGAATAAAAGAACAGAGAACATCTGAGTAGAAATTTTTTTCCTGGAGCATCTTAATTATGTGACCATATTCTTGTATTTTGACCAAATGTCATGAAATTCTGATTCCCCTTTCTCTTATCAGTGGCTTAGTGTCCTTGTGTTGATACCTGAAGTGTTTTCCCTTTGAATTCCTTTTGTTTTATTAAAATTCTTTTCATGCTAACCATTTTCACTGATATTGCTTGCTACACAATCAGTTCTTTTACTATGTACTTTTAAGTCTTTAGTGAAAATTCTTAGGCTATTATGTTTAGTATTTTCTTTTACTTTGTTTTCTTCTTTAGAGACTTTTGTTGAATGAAGGTTATTTGTTCTTTGCCCACCTTCTATAGCTAGTACTTCTTTTGTAATTTTAAAAAAATCTCTTACTTTTAAAAATTTTAGAGTTTTCTTCATATCTTTGCATCATGAAGATTGTTCTTTACTTTTGTATTCTTTCTCTAGTCTTAATTTCTGTAATAAGCGAATGGTTTCCTGTTCATAATTACTATAAGATAATTATTTTTATTTGTTTCTAAGTTATTATAGTTAATTGTATTTCTAAAGTATTCTAGATCCACTTAAAATTCCATTAAACTTTAAATATAAGATTCCATTTTCATCTGTATTTGAGTATGTCTTTTTGATGTATATAGATCACCTAGGAGAACATTTGTTTGTTCTCTGCTTTTTTGTTGTTGCTGTTTTGTTTTTAAGATAAGGTCTTGATATATAATTTTGTTGGTCTTAAACTCTCTATGTAACCCACGCTGGCCTTGAACTCACAGCTGTCCTCCTGTTTTAGTCTCTCAAGTGCTTAGATTACAGGTGTGCACCACCATGCCCAAGTTCTCTTTTTCCTCTATGAAAATTTTATGAGACTTGTTTGAGATTCTCTACTACTTTTAAAGAAAGATTTTAGGAGGAAGGACTGGGTGAAATAATTTTTGTAGTACAATAGCCTAACATTCTCCTTTATTTTCACAAAAAGCTGAAAAATAAAGCCAGGTTCTTTCTGAGTTTCAATTCTGTTGCCCTCCTGCTGTAGTGGAGCCTTTTCTTTTTTTTATTCTTAGTCTATCTCTCGTTGCCAATCTAGACCCTTCAGGTTGGTACTTTCTCCCACAGAAGTGCTTCGTCTGCAGCGTTCAGTGTTCTTTGGGTCCAGTCTCCAGATATCTCTAGTGAGATCAGAACCTTTCTGTTGCTCTGTTGTACTTACCTGTGAGCTGGTGTCCATAGAGGCCTCTGCTGGTTTCTGTTATTTTCAGACTTGCCTGCTAAACTCATTAGAAAGCATCTCATGATGATTGTGGCAATTTTCACTGTGTTGATTTTCTTTTTCGCTGCCGTGTGGGTCCATAGGGGCTGGCCATTTATCACTACCTACTGACATGAGTTTTGTGACACACATTGTAGATTGTGGTTTGATATACTTTTTACACTTTGTTTTTATGAAGATATCTACCGAAACTCAAAGACTAAAGCAGCGTATTTTGCAAAATCTTTCCCCTCTTTGTTCTTAAGCAGTAATAACTCTTTTGGTCAATTCTAATTTTTATCAGTCAAATTTCTGTCTTAAGTTTAAATGTAGGTATAGTTGGCAACACTGAATTTTTTAAAAATTTAGGTTTATTTTAAGGTTGTGGATTTACTTATAGAATAAACATAGCTAACTAATGTAGACATATTCCAATCATACCATTTTCTCAAGTATATCTCCATTGTTATGTCTTTGAGAGAAAAAGACTAGACTTTACATTTTTCAATGAGCTATTGTACAGCTTTTTGAATTTTAATTTTTAAACACTTTAAGTTGATATGTAATTGTATATATTCATGAGATACTGTATACTCTTAACTTTCCATGGAAAATATATGATCAGCTAATCAGGATTGGCATATTACTCATCTCAAATATTTATCATTGTGTTCTGTTCAAACATCCAAACTTTAGTTGCTTTTATGAGATACTCAGTTACTATGCCTGTCAACCTTCGATCCCCTGTTGTGTTGTAGAACATTGGACATCTAATGTAGAATTTCTGGCAGGGCAGTTTGACTGTCCTGCTATTTTTCTTCCACAGTCGTGGTTGACCTTGAAAGAAGTGGGGCTTACTCCTCCATAGCTTCTAGAATTGCTTAACAAATGCTTAAGCCACAGGTAGACTTGTCATAATGTTTTCTCTCATAAACAGCCACAGCTTAACAATTTTGCATGAGTTGCTTTGTGCCTGCAACGGTACTGTACCCGAGGAATTTTTCTTTGTTTTATAAATAAATTTTCTGATTTTAATGATTTGTGTTAGTGAACATGGGTGCTAGTTAGTATGATGTGGTTTACACAAATTAAAATTCTTCTAAGAAAAAGTGCAGTTAAAGAAGAGAAATCTTATATGACACAGAGACCCTATATTCAAGGTTTGAAAGAAATTGTTTCCCAATTTATCTATATTTTTATGTAATTTTTCTCTTTTTTGTAGAGGAAATTTGTTATGTTTTTCATCAAATAATCTATAGCAAACACAAAATGCCACATATTCTAATATTTTTTTTCTTCCTTTTATTAACCTCTGAGAACTTTTGTCTCTTTGGAAAAGAATATATAAAAAGGATGAAGTCACCACTTTAGAAATATGTAGGGCAGATCACCGTGGGTGTGGAGCTGCTCAAAAAACAATGGGAGTATTGTTTTACTGATGTGAGAAGAAAAAATCCTCTCATTAGAAATGAAGAAAGAGATTGGTTATGCTTATGGTAATTATCTGTGCTAGAATTTTGACACATACCTTAAGGGTGATCCAAATGTCTACCTAGTTTAATCAAAGACATTAAATTCACGCTAGAGATTACTAAAAGGTAAGATAAGGAGCTAACTGGTCAAGAGATACCTCTTCCATCCCATACACGTTTCATTGATATGTGAATTACAGAGCTTTGTTATAAGCCTTACCATGCCCTTCTTTTTCTTTTCTCACTTTTTTTTCTAAGCCCCTTAGACAGAACCTATCTACTTTAGAGACAGAATTGACCAGAGATAAAATTGGGTATCAGATAGTGATGAAAGAGACCTTTTTAACTTCTTTGTCTCAAAAAATACTGAAAAATAGTCTGAAAATAGTAAGGAAAGTT